TTTTTGCGGAACTGGGGATTGAACTCAGGCCCTTGCGCTTGCCAGGGAGCGCTGTCACTCTTGGCAGGGATATTGCTCAGTCGTACAAGCTCCTTCCTGGCAAGCGCAAGGGCCTGAGTTCAGTTCCCCAGACAGAAACAGCCTCCTTGCAGAGCCCTGCAGCCAGGACTGCAGCCTCTCAGCACCTCGGTCGCCCCATGCTTAGGGCATGCCAGGTAGCTGCCACTGGCGGATGTGCCCTGGCGGCCACCTACCCCCCGCGGTCCCTGCCTCCACCTGCAGCTGCCCTCGCTCTGCCCGGGCTCTGCCTTTCCCCAGCCTGCAGGGCCACACTTCCCTTTCTCAACGCACTGCAGGGACACAGGGATGGGCCACCCTGTGCCTTGGACCTGGGTTCTGATCTCCACCTGCTGCCCCTGGCCTAGCTGTGACTTCAGGCAAGTGGCGCAGCCTCCCTGGAGCCTGGCGCTGAGCTAGGGCTGCTCCCTGTGTGCGACCTCAGGCTGCCCAGCGTGCTTCCCTTCTGCCCCCTCCGCGTCCTTTTCCTATCCTGGGAGGAGCTACTAGGCCTAATGCAAACCAGATGCTCCTCCCTGCCCGGCTAGCCCGGGTTCCCACCGCCCCACCTCTTCCTGTTTTGCTTTTCTCTGATCCCCCTTGCTGACCTGGCCTCCCCTCACCTGGAAACCATTAACTGGGACAGGATGCACAGAGAGGGGGCATTGCTCCTAACCTCAAAGGTAGGGGACAAGGAAGCCCAGCGCTGTCCCTCCCTGCCAAGCCAGAGCCAGCCCTCGGTGGGGAAACTGAGTCAGGGGTGCCAGACTGCAGAGAAACACACTGCTGTCTGGACGCTGACCCAGCTTGGACGGGACGGGAAGCTGAGGATCCCGAGCTGCCTGTGACTGCAACACCAGCCCGCACCCGGGGCTGGGTGGCCCCTACAGCCTCGGGCAGGGGTGACACTGGGTCCAGAGTCCCCTGGGGGCCTCTGTCCCGGCCATCATTCCTGTGGTCACGAGGGGCAGCTCCCCCTGGCCTCTGGCCAGCTGGGCCTGCACACCTGGCTGAGCAGCCCTAGACCTTCAGGGGCTGGGTGTTGAGGACCCTGGGTTTCCTTGGCAATGCCACCCCAGGGGCTCTGCAGCAGGTTGCACCTTCCCTCTCTTGGTGTATAGGGCTACAAGGTGAAACTTGGAGGCCTCTGGTTGGGCGGGAGGAGGCAGGAGGCAGCTGTGGGGAGGAGACGGGACCAGGCTGCCGGAAGGCAGTGGGGACTGGGACCAGGCCCAAGGGCAGGGTGGAGCGGCAATCAGTCGGGCCAGCTGTGAGCTCAGCCTGGGACTGTCCTGGAAGCAGGCAGCAGAGGACAGTGCCTAAGGAAGCGAAACATAGACCTTTCTTTCACCGCCCTGAGCACAGCCGCCCAATGGCAGCCCTGGATGTGGCGCCCATCTGGGCCGGAGGTTGGTGCTGCCCATGGTCCCTGGCACCAGCCTCGCCTGGCCCCAGGGATTCACTGCAGAAGTTGGGCTAGTGCTCTGGTCCACCTGCTCAGGCACCACAATGGGGTCCTGTCCATTTCCAGGGGGTCGGGGCTCCCCAGCCCCCACCTAGTGGCCCAAGCTACTGGGGACCCTAAGCAGATCCCTCTTCAGATCCCTCTTCTGGCTGTGAAGAAGACTCATGTAAATCTAACTACACCAATGCTACTTTGAGTCTCAGTTTACCCAATTTAAAACTGGGACAATTAAGGCTTAGATTTTTTTTTTTTTTCTTTTTGGCAGAACCAGGGATTGAACTCAGGCCCTTGCGCTTGCCAGGGAAGCACTTATTCCACTGAGCCATCTCCCCGGCCCCTTAGCTGCTTTTTTTTTTTTTTTTGGTACTTGAAAATTGAACCCAGGGTCCTTTGCACTGAAAGATATCCCCACCCCTTTGTTATTTTCTGAGATAGCCTTGCTCACTTGCACCCTCCCGCCTCAGCCTCTGGACATTGGGATCATAGGCCTGAGCCCTGTACCCCAGCCCAGCTCCAAAATTCAGTGTCTCTGGCCTCCATCACTCTCTCCTTGGGGTGGTGAATTTTGAGAAGCAGGGTTGAAGGCTGAGATTTTTATATCTGCTTAGAAGAGGGCAGCACTCAGCCCGCAAGGCACAGGAGAGGCCAAGAGGCACTTGGCCCATGGAGCCTCTCGGAGGAGCTCGAATTGGACTTTATTCTGCAGGCCTGTGAGGTGGTTAAACATTTTTAGCAGGCGAGTGCGGTGGCGGCACCCTGTGGGCAGCACAGGGCAGAACGTAGCAGCCAGCACTGGGAAGACAGACCACAGTGGGCAAGTGACGTTCACTTGTGACACCCAGCTCAGGCGGGGGACGGGTGCAGACGGTGCGGTGGCTGTCTGGAGATTGTCACATTGGGCTCCCAGAAATGCACTCAGCCCTTTCGACCATCAGGGAGCTCAGGCCCTTTGCTGCTGCTGAGGACGGCTGCGATACTTTTCAGGATAGCTCGGGTCCTTACCTTGAGCACCGCTTCCTGGGCCCAGTGCAGATCTTTCACCCCCCTGGCACAAGACTTCCTAGCTTCCACCACTGACCTTTGGGCTTTCCCAGCGCAGATTCTTGGTACAGACTGGCACAAGGCATCGTTGTGGCTGTGGGCCTCTAGGTGGGCTCGTGCGGGCATCGTCTCGGGCTCCTGCCTCCAGGTGGG